ATATATGTGTGTGTGTGTGTGTGCTCATTACATAAGTAGTGTATTTGAGTGTGTAAGTGAAAGAGTGTAAAGAGAGTGAGTGTGCAAGAGAGAAATTGTAAGGTGTGTGTTTGTAAAGAAAATATTGTTGTTAATAAAATCATTTTTAGTTTGACCTTTAAACTCAACACGTCATACCACAACTAATTTCACTCATGAGTTTATTATATCTCGATATAAGTTACGATATATGATAATACATAAACAAACTGCACATATCCTGGAACTATGTATCTATCTCCTATACAAATTTAAGATATCTATTACGACAAGCAAACAAAATATTTTTAACAGTCTCAATACGACTTTCAAATAAGCTAAACACGAAGAAGACTTTCAAATAAGCTAAACACGAAGAAGGCAATATTTTTAACAGTCTCAATACGTAAAAAAAAATTTGCTTATATTTTTCTCTTGTAGTATGTGGGCTGGTTTCTTGAACACGAAGAAGGCAATATGGATCTCGAGTTCTCGAATTTGCCATCTAACCCAATTGTTGTTTTTGGGTTGAACTTGAACCCACCCTATGTATATTCGTCGAGCAATTTGGGGGTCGGGTAAAATCTTCAATGGACCCTTTTTGAGAACAATAATAAAACAAAATTAATGGAGCATATGATCATTGACAAAAATATGTCAGTGATCATCGACGGTTCATCCTTATTAAAATTAATATTTGTCGGAGAAAAGTGGACTCTCATCCCGAAATTCTTTCTTTAGAGACGGGTTCAAGTGTCTTTATTAAAAAAATGTTCCTTCAATTTCTATAAATTGATGATGTATTTCTCTAACTTTTGTAATAATTTTTTTGTAAAACAATGAGTTTTTGAATCGTAAATTTTTGGAGAATGTATATTTAAAAAGTAAGAATTTTATTTTTTTGAATTTACGTGAATAGTATTTTATAGTAAAAAAGGGTTGTTGAAAATGAGTACTAGAAAAAAAAGTTTTAAAAACTGGTTACCCAACGGGGGCTTAATCTTTATATGATTAGCCTCAATACTTGCTATTTAACTCAAATCATGCCCATTTATCTATTGTGGGCACTAGGCTTGAGCGTCGGGTGGGTAAGGTCGGGAATTTCAATACAAGGAAAACTAAGGGT